ATAGCTCTATCATCTCTAACGGTCCTCCCTAGAGGTCCAGTAAGGACCATCTCTACACCGTAAATTCCAAGGAGGTGAATCAACTCCAGGGGCCGCTTGTTCAAAGCTGGACTATTAGTGCTAACCCTGGATTAAAATTTAGTTTGGGTGCAAATGCACTTCTGTTTGTTTCAAAACTTTGGAAAATAAAACTTCTATTGATCCAGACATGAATTGTGGAAAACTATCTTCATGTTTCTAAACATGATGTTGGTAAGATTGCTTTGGTAAGATTTCGCTAACCCAGGATTAAGCTAACCAGCTTTTGAACTAACCGGCCCAGAAGTGTTACTCTTTCACCAAAAACGGTGACAAACAGAATAACAAAAGTAATTATAAGTCGCTATTGAATAACGGCGACATTTTTAAACTGTCCTTCACAGAGGTCCAGTTATGTTCATAAGTTACACTGTAGCTGAAAAAGCCAAAAATCTTGCGATCATTAATTGTTACAGTCAAACTAGACTGTGACTAAGATGAAATTTACATCAGAGAAATGCGGGAATCAAGCCTAACCACAGCTGTATCACCAACAAACACATCATGTTTTGAAACATGCGCAGTGCCTTCTTTAAAGAATTTTCACTGAGGGGGGGGGGGGAGGCAAAACAGGAGAAAACGCAGAACGAAAAATATGAGCCGTCGAGGTTTGGCGAACGCGCGAGTCTGAAGAGAGATTTTAACTCTTTGTAGCTATAATGGTACAGCTATAACCAGTGATGTAGCCAGACCTTAATTCTTTTTGGGAGGGAGGGGCGAACCTTATGCACGCCGAAGTGTGAGACCGTCTAGGAGGGTCCGGGGGCATGCACCCCCGGGAGAAATTGGAAATCTAGGGTCCCTGAATTGCGATTTCAAGGATTTTGGGAGTGAAATCTAGCAGAATTTCGAAGATAATAAAGTACATCGAAGACATGAATTTTTCCAGACATTTCTACTCGGAATTAAATAAATTGGAAAAGTCACCTTGAAAAATAGGAGGAGGGGTCAGTGTCACCTTATTTCCTCTCTGTGATGCTGGGGGGAGAGAAAATCCCAATGTGATTTTGATCAGAAATGTTGCATTTAAATCATTTTAGGTTCTATAAGACATCATTTCCGCATTCTCAAAATTGCGTTGCTTTTTCATACGATACAGAATAAATCTGAGAAGAAATATTCATGCTATAAATGATGATGCATACATGTATTTAACAGTTAAAAATCTAAACTAAATCTGTTCTTCTTGGAACCAGCATTCTATTGGATTGTTTGCATGAAATCTATCGCTATTATGAAATACTCGGTGAAGAACAATATGAATTACACACAAGATGGCTGTGGAGGAGGCTATGGAAGGGTATAATCTCATTATCAATAAAGTAAATCAACTGCAATTCTGACAGCAATCATGAGCAATTCTGCTTCGCACTTCGGGGGCAGAAATGGCTTTACTGGTGGGGGGCAAATTCTTTCCTTGGGGGGGGGGGCAATTCCCCCCCAGATATATAGTTAAAAAAGGCACTGAACATGCTTGTAGTGAAGGTTACACCCGTTTTCAAAATTACGCGACCTCCCCGAAAAATAGTCTGACTTCAAATGTCAGTTTTATGTCACAAGAACTGCTAAAAATAGCAAAAGTAAACAAAAGACATTTTATACCGTATTTACTGTCGTTCCAATTGAAGTGTTGCTCAAATATTGATTCAATACATTACCTCGGGCTGACCAATTCAAATGATCAAGTTGCTCGAGATATTCATACACTTCCTGTGAAAGAGCCAATTCCAAGTATTTGATCATTTCTGGTTACTTCCTTTCTATTTATGATTGGTTAGTTGCACAAACAACAAAGGTGATTGGTGCATTCAAACTATTCAACAGGAAGTTTACAATTATACTAGGAAGTGTATGAATATCTCGTGGAACTTGATGAAATGAATTGGTCAGCCCGAGGTAATGTATTGAATCAATATTTGAGCAACATTTCAATTGGAACGACAGTAATACAATCTTGTCTAAAAGTACACACGAGTGACCACGAGTGACCACGAATGACCACGAGTGACCACGAATGACCACGAGTAATTTCTGTGTTTAAAAATCATGATATAATAATAAAAACTATTTTAAGGTGGCTCCCTAAGGTTTTTTGCATTATACTGCACTATAGTATCCAGAAAACGCCTGTTTCTTCACTTTACATAACATGAAGACGAAATTTATTGGACACATTGACAATGCTCTCCTGAACATTGCAATGTGCTACTTTTGTGCTGAAAGTTCGTTACCATGGCAACAGTGTGCTTAGGATAAGGCTCAAAATTCGGTTTAAATAAATGATTACAAAGCCCAGTCGAATTGTAATCAAGACCCAACGTTTCGACACTCCAGTCTAGTGTCTTCATCAGGGGTGATCTAAAGATACAATCGCTATATCATGCTCAATATCTCATTAAATTAATTGACTCAAGCACGATTCAAGGTTCGAGACTTCACCTTCGACATAGGGCTCACTGGCCTACATGTACATGTATAAGATAGATCCTGATAATTATCGTTGCCCATTAATGCTTGACCTCTTGCTCTCATAAGAGAGTATAGATGAAGGTACTTCTGGAATAACGTACTTAAGCATTAATTAGATGTTTGGCTCTTGAACACTTAATTTGGAGCATTATAACACTAAATTGCTTAAAACGCGCCTGCAGCTTAACTTTAAAAATACATAAAATCAGTACCACAAATTAATCTGCTTACAAGCTATTAGCAAGGACATTTCAGTTGGTTTAGATTGAAAGAACTCCTTAAAATGAAGAATAAGGCATTTTACAAAAGTTATTCTTGATAGATATCATTTCAGTTCATTTGATATGTTGATCAGATGACGTGGCAAGCCAGGGTCAACCACAGGCCGCATAAAACTTCATGTTTTTTGTATCCAAGACCAGTCAATTGAATCATCTAGATCTGAATTATTTCCGCTATTTTGAAAAGTGAGCTTTATGGCTGGAATGCACTGCCACCTTTCAATATATTTTACCAGCTCGTGACGTCATAGATTTATTTCATTTTCATATGAGACAAACTCACTTATGTCAATAATGACAAGAGGTAAAGAAAAGTTGTAAAATAACTTAATTCACAGTCTAACAAGTTATTTATCTCCAAGCATATATAAGTGTGGTTGCCTCTATCATGGATCGACATAACTTGTTGAGACAACCATTCCTTATATCATGAAAAATTCGCATATTGTTTATGATTATAAATTCGCTGTGACAATGTGCTGCGCTTGTAATGTGATGTGCACAATATATATACAACATAATGTGCATTAACTTGTAAAATTTCGATGAATGGTCTCAACCGTTCTACTTATATCATTCATCACAATTAAATAAGTTTTAACAATACTTAAATACACACCGCACAAAATTAAAATAGAAAACTAAATCTCTATTGCACCGTGATTGTCATTTAAAGTAAATAATGATAATAATAGAAGAAAGGACTACAAATGAACTGGTCATATTTCGACATGAACTGGTCATATTTCAAATTGCAATGATTTCTAGTTTCCAAATTGATCAAACTCTATATTACGCATTCCCAAATTAATCAAGTTCTAATTTCCAGTTCTCAGATTAATAAAATTCTAAGTGCTGGTCAGTCTGAGATTAAGTACAGACTGGTGAACCATAACAATAACATCGTCCTCCAATAGCTGCTCCAAAGCTATATCCATACGAACATCTGCTCCCGTACTGCCCGGCTGCTCGTGCTCTTCGATCTCGCTTTGACCAATCATTGTGCCAGCAGTTGTGACCGCATGTTTCTAGTGGCACGCCTACACAATATGGTGGACCATAACAAAAACAGCTACCACTCCAAGAGTACGAGCGAGAACATCTCTTATTTTCAAAGCCATGTTTTCTTGCTTCCGAGTCACGCGTTCGCCAATCATTGTGCCAACAGTTGTCACCACACGTAAATAAAGCTGACACCATGACGTCGCAAATTGCGAAAATCAAAACTATCAAAGTTATATTTACAAACACTTTGGAAAACATCTTGAATTTCAATCTACAGTAAATATTGAACAAATTAGCTATTATGGCCATCAATACGAGCGCCAGAAAGCTGTTGTAGCCTAACCCTAGGTTCACTAGGTGAGTCGTTTATTTACGGCTTTATTTGATATAAACATGTGTAGGTCAGGTTGTGGCAAACCATGAAGGGATATGGAGTTCAAACTAATAGTTCTCGAAATAACAGCGAGATTTAGTATCTGAAATTCACTGCGTCAATAGATCAAAATTGGTACTCCAGTAGAAGCCAGCAGAGTATTATATGAGATCGGTTTGAAAAAACAACTATAAACAAGAGAAGGTTAAATTCAAGTCTCCCGGTTTTTGCATGCGGCTATGTCCGCTGACATAGGCCGTAGCCTTGAGTCGGGGACTACAAAAATGCATTGACCGTTTCTTTCGTTTAGGGAAAGTACATTTATTATGCCGAGTGGGGGGGGGGGATTTAGATGTTAAGGGGGGGCTCCGAAATATTTTCTGGCATTAAAGGGGGGGCTCTGAAAGTTCTTGATATACTGAAGGGGGGGGGCTCTAAACTTTTCAAAGTTTTGACCCCAGCAAATTCAAGTTAAAATTTTGACATTTTCAGGTAAAATTTGCGTAATAAAGTAATTATTTTTGTGAAATGATAACCATTTTTGTAAAATACAGTCAATTTACATGCAATTTGTTTGCGAAATTTTCTTTAGAAAATGCCAGAAATTCAGTCCTAGAGCTTCAAAAATGTAAAAATTTTCTGGGGGAGGACCCCCAGACCCCCCTTTTCTACCAAAACTTAGTATGAGAGTGCCAATCAATCACAAAAAGCTGTATTATAATTATTACACGTATAATCCTCCGACATCCTCCCCAAACGTCAGATGCTTTGCTACGTCCCTGATGGTTGTATTAGAAACCGATTTCAGTTCTAAGATATCCTTAGTCTGCTCTAATAATTGCCACATGAAATCACCTATAGCTTATTTTAAATTTTTTGGCGCTAGGTTTGTGAAGTAATTTACCCGCCAAAAAGTAGCAGTTCCAAAAACAAAAAAGCAGACGATTTGTAAGAGTGATATGTTCTATGTTTATGGGATATTTAGTACAAACGAGATGAAAATTAAAGAAATTGAAGCATACTGGCACTTTTGCATGCATTTTTGACAGGCATGCAAAGACATTTGCAACAGATGCCAGGAGATACGTTGGGTGGGGGCGACATTCTGTAAGGTTCCAGCACATTAGCCTGATCCAGGAAATCCTGGCCACTACATGAACGTGTTCAAGACTCCGACTACGCTGAATGATGGACAACAACAACTTGCTGATAATTTCGCCCCTAGAGCCAATTTAAAATGTTTTTTTTAAACGGTGCCATTTCATCTGGCGCTAGGGAGGTGAAAGAAGCAGCAGATCGGTAGTTTTGTTGAGGAGAAGCACATGCTTGAGTATATCAGACATCTTGAGGAATTGCAAATTGTATCTATGATAAGATAGAATTCCGGATTGTACTCCTTCGATTCCGAATTCTAGAG